TCGCATAGTAAAACATTACATTCCCATGAGTCAAAGAAGAATTATAGTAAGGCCAGACTTTTTTTATTCCTTGTTTCTCGAGTTTTTATAAGGCAATTTTTTTAAGGACGGCGAAAAAAAAAAAAAATTAATTCTTTTTTTCCATTAGATTTGTGTGATTCTCAAAGAATTGTAAGTGAGATCATTGATCGGAGAAAAGAAATGAAATAAAATTTTATTCCATGTATAACCTTGTTTCTCATCTGCGCGAGACTTCGATACTTTGATTATGATACTCCCACGAAAATGCAACTTGGGTTTGTTATGCACTTACAAGTCGGCGGGCACGAGAAATTACGCTGAAATAAAATTTTATTTTTATTTCATTTTCAGCTCCTGTTCATTCGGCGGGTTCGCGAAACAAGGGATAATAAAAGTCTGGCCTAAGCTACAATGTACATTTTTCGCTTGTTTTAATGAAATAAATATTAATTAATTTTAACACTGAATTACTGTGAATTATCCAAGAATTGATGTTCATTCTGGTTTTATACTTTTAACTGTGGAATCTGTTTAATGATTGAAATCACTCAATAACATAAAATGTTCGATGTTGGAAAAGATATCATCAGTTCATTTGGGTTCATCAGCTTTAATTCACCCTAGATGTTAAAGCATGGTTGCTATGCATCTCCACGAACATTTACATGTACCTACTTTGTTATTTCTAATTACTGTAGAATACTTTATTTTCGCTTGGAATTAATTTTCGCTATTTTCGCTGCAGGAATGGTTCAGTGAAAATAAAATCCAGCGAATATACCCTTTTTTTCTATTTTTACATTAAACTTGTCAAAAATAAATTCCATACAAAACACCCTAAAAGTATTTTCAGCGAAAATTAATTCCAGCTAAATAATATTTTACAGTTACTGTAGTTAATTTAAGTTACTACGTACCTTGTTGTTGAACAAACTATGTAATTCTACATATGTTGTATTTGTTGTAAGGGACCCATATCAAATATGATATGGGTAAAGCTTGATTAATTCAATTGTTAATATTTAACACCTAATCTCAGTTAGGCGCCATGGAACATAGAAAAAAAAAAAAAAAATTTTTTTAAGATGATTAACGAAAGTTATATGTCTCGTTAATTATGATAATACCTTCTACGGTAACTGTACCGGTACTTCCCTATTGGGAGTTGAGAATGATCTATGTGATTGTGGTAATTATATTATAGAAAATTACAATTTTAAGTAACGTCTGGCTACATAATATATACCGTATTTCCCTGGTCATAAGTTCATGCTGGGACCTCAAGATCTGGGGAAGTAAGATGTATATTGAGGAAGTACCAATAATAAAAAGATTGTGGTGTATTTTTACTGTCAATTTGAAATGCTGCATTTTAATAAAAACTAAAATTATTAATGAATTAAGTTTCTTTAATGTTTGAGTTCCAGGCAATGTTTTGTCACACTGAATGTTAGTGTGGTCTCCTCTCACTTACATGTACATGTTAATTGAACATGT